AGAAGATATAATAGTATGAATAACACGAGATAAATCACCAAATGGACGAAGAACTATTTTCAGACCAAGAAAAAGATGGTGCGACAATTTAAACAATTTCCGAGGATAATATTAAAGAAGAAACAGGCTTTAAAGCCTACATACTAGAAGAAAGAAGAAGAGGAAGACAGGAGAACTGGAACTTAGGTCTCCCTGTTTTACCTTGCTTCATCTGGATTTTTATTGTTGTTGCTTCCATAGTGTTTAGTTCTGGCATCTGTTGCCAATCTGTTGTAATGTATGGTTTATTCCTCTTCTCGATGGAATAGCAGTTCCGAATTTGCTTTGTAGTCATTCCTATAGATATCGTATTCTAAAAACTTGATGAGTTAGTTTAGTTTCTTGTAATGCTACGACATCCTTTCCATATCTGTTAATTAGTTCGCCCAGCAGGTTTGCATATGTTCTTATGCCGCCTCAGTTCCTGGAGCTTATCTTCAAATGTACCCTAGCTTCATACCTTAGTTCAGTGCTATTTTTACATTTATGATCGCTTATTTTACCGTTTTTATAACTAGCTCTTTTAACATCACCGCCAGTCATTTTTGTTGTTCTTTTAAGATTAGTATGGTCGAATCTCTTGCTAGGTTTTGTATGGGTTTGGTGATTTGGCCACCCGAGATTGCCCATTGTTTCTTTCAGGTTGTTGTGTTCTGTTTACTGCTGTTGTTTCTCTGGGTCTTTCCCAGACAGGTAACCTTGAACATCCCCTAAACTTGCTGGGTGTTGGCCTTGGCAGTTGGCACATTTTGCTTTTTGTTTTTGTTGACTGCTCTGCGAAACAACTCCGCGGAGGTCATCCCAAACCATTGTCGGAGGTTTTTTAACCACGAGATACGACGGCGTCGTATATATGGTGTATGGGGTGGGGTGTATATGGTATGTATGGGGTGTATAGCTAGTTCGCGTCCGTAGTAGAATACTACACGTGCACCCTGAATAACGCTACATGAATTAGCACATACTGGCAGTTAGACAATCCTTAGGATCTCCGGACCAAACAACACTTCCAACGAAAGATGATAAACAAAATAAACGGCCCTTGTGAGGACCGCACAACCAGACCAATCGGACCTATAGTTCGAATTTGCCACATAAACAGAAGGCATAAGCTATGCTCAAAACTATTAAAAGATGACAACATTGACTTAGTTGCTTTACAGGAAACCCACTGCGAAACAGAGGAGCACCTACAAAAAAGGGGCAAAATAACGGGCTATGAACTATTAGGCACAACTTACCACCGAACATACGGCACAGCCACATATGTCAAAGAAGATATTGAAAATGCTTCGCTAATCTCTACTTCCACTGATGACTATATTTATAATGTGGTCACAAAAATCGCTAGCGTTACCGTGTCCAATATTTCTGCTACTTCTTGGCCAGCCCAAGCAATTCAAGTACAGCCTTACCCTGCTGTATATGTTGGAGATTACAATAGCCATCATGAACAGTGGAAGTACAAAAATAGTGATGCAAATGGGAATGCTTTAATAAAATGGGCAGAAGACGAACGCCTATACCTTTTGTTTGATGCCAAAGATCGACCAACCTTCAGATCTGCGGCATGGAGGCGGGAATACAACCGCGACTTATGCTTCGTCTCACCCGACAACAGAGACTTACCTCTAGGGGCTTCACGAAGAGTTCTAACTGATTTCCCACACAGCCAACATCGACCAGTAATAATAGAAGTAGGGACGTAAATCCATTTAATTAGTTCTATCCCAAGTCCGAGATGGGATTTTAAAAAGGCCAACTAGATTGACTTTTCTGTGGATCTAGATAAATGTCTAGGGTGGATTACACCGAATATCAAAACTCTGTTGGTGCCGTGCTAAGTGTAGCCAAAAAACACATACCACGAGGATATCGCAAAGAATATGTTCCTGGCTGATCGGAAAATAGCGAGGAACTATATAAGAGCTTTCTTAAAACTGGCGACCAAGAAATAGCGGATGAACTACTGTACAGCCTAGACGCCGCTAGAAGCCAAAAGTGGACCGAAACAGTAGAAAGTCTAAACTTCCAGAAATCAAGCAGACAGGCAATGTCATTACTAAGAAAATTAGGGAGTGGTGTCCGTACGAAACGCCGAGAGGCAGCCGTAAAGCCAGATGCCGTAGCATCACATATAGTAAAAACATACAGGGCACCAAAATATAAAGCACACACCATCTACGTAAAGAGAGGACTTAAAACTTTAAAACATGTAGCCACAGAAATGGAGCATTCCCTCCCCTTCATTAGCGAAGACATATCAGAGGCTCTTAAAGACGTTAAGCCAGCAAAAGCACCAGGATTTGATAATATTCTCCATGAATTCCTACTAAATTGTGACAAGTATATAAAAGTTTGGCTGGCTCGATTTTTCACAGACATCATGGAAATTGGATATATCCCACAAGAACTGAAGCGCTCTAAGATAATAGCTTTACTAAAGTCAGGCAAACCCGCTGACAACCCAAAAAACTACAGATCAATTGAGCTTATCTCTGCCATCTACAAACTATTAGAGAGGCTTATATATAATAGAATCAGTACAGAACTGTTCCAGGTGATCCCAGTCGAACAAGCGGGTTTTCGACCAGAAAGAAGCTGCGCGAACCAGGTAATGTCACTCACCACCTACATCGAAGCGGGTTTCCAAAGAAGACTTAAAACTTCAGCGGCATTTATTGATCTCTCGTCAGCTTACGATACAGTATGGAGAGAGGGCCTTATATACAAAATTCTCCGTGCAATCCCCTGTAAACAAATAGCACGTTTAATACATAGCATGCTCAACGACCGAATGTTTCAAGTAGTGATGGGCAGAGATATCAGCCCACCAAACAAACTTAAGAATGGCCTTATATTTAGCAGATATGCCAGAAACACAATCAAGAAAGTTCGGATACGCCGATGACTGCACGATACAGAACACTAGAAACATCTGAAGAAGTTCTGACGGCAGACTTATATATATATATATATATATATATATATATATATATATATATATATATATATATATATATATATTGGGCAAATATTTTCGCAAGTGGCGGCTTCAACCAAATGCATCCAAAACATAAGTAAGTTGCTTTCACCTGAACAATAAACTTGCTGGAAAGGAACTCAATATACGGTTTGAAAATACCACACTTCCCACAACAAAACACCGAAGTACCTGGGCGTAACACTAGACAGAACGCTATCATTTAAAGAGCATTTAACAAAAACTGCCCAAAAGTTGAGTACAAGAAATAACATACAGAAGCTCTGCGGTACCACCTGGGGAGCATCGGCTACCACTCTCCGCTCTACTGCTTTAGCCCTTGTTTTCTCGACCGCTGAATATTGTACCCCAGTTTGGCTACACAGTCCACACGTAAAAAAGGTCGACACTCAGCTGCACAGCACTATGAGGATGATAGCTGGTACAATTAAATCAACTCCCACCCAATGGCTTCCAGTATTAAGTCACATTCCACCTCCACATTTACGACGAGTTGACGCACTTACACGTGAATACAAAAAGATCATGAACAATATAAACCTGCCGATCCACCAAGATACCGAGGATGCATGAAATACCCGTCTACGTTCTAGAAAACCACCAATGAAAACGGCAAGAATGATACACGAGGAGTTCAACATCACGAATGCATAGTCCCAAGAATGGAATGCACGGCAAAATAACATGCCCTGCATTATCCACAAGCCACCAGGTTTTGATCTTCCCCGTAAAATATGGTCCACTCTAAACAGGATCCGAACCAGACATGGCAGATGTGCATACATGCTACATAAATGGGGAAAGAATCCGTCTCCTCAATGTGACTGTGGGAAGAACCAAACGATCGACCACATTATTGAAGAGTGTCCCTCAAGATCCTACAATGGTAGCCCTGAAGACTTCCTGTTTGCAACTTCAGAGTCAATTGATTATGTTAATACACTTGATGTTTGTTTGTAACTATTTAAAGTTTGTCATATACCTATATTACTAGTGTTTGTAATTTTGTTCTAAATGTGTTGTAATTTCCATACGATAAATAAAAACGACGGCGTTCTGGTCCTCTCCTGCCAAATACTTTACCCTGCACAACGAGTTGAAGAATTCGATATTTTTCTTCGTTCCGCATCACGTGCCCGAGGTACTCAAGCTTACGTTGTTTCACTAAATTAAGCACTTCTATTTCTTTTCTCATGCGCTGTAGGACCTTAACGTTGGTGACATGGTAAACATATGATATTTTTAGTATCCTTTTGTAGATCCACATCTCGAAGGCTTCAATCCGCATTTCTATCGCTTGCGTCAATGTCCAGGCTTCAACTCCATAAAGTAACACTGGAAGAATGTGGTACCTCACTATCCGCATCTTGGTTCCCAAACTGAGATCACTGCAGCACAGCAAGGATCTCAACTTGATAAATGTAGACCGTGCCATTTCAATTCTGGATCTAATCTCTTGAACGTAGTCCCATTGTGAGTTGAGGGTAGTTCCGAGGTAAGTGAATCTGTCGACTCTCTGGATCTCTTCGCTACCTGCCATTAGTGCCCCAGGATCTAAATTTGTACAGCTGACAACCATGAATTTAGTTTTCTTAATATTAAGGTCTAACGGGTCTACCTATTAAGGTATTAACGGGTCTGCTTGTTTCCTGTTTCGTTCACTGTTTATAGTTTTATAACTGGTGGTTTTGTTTTGGATTTGTTTATGTTGGTTTCTTCTTTGTTCTCTTCGGTGATTGGTTTCCATTATTTCCTTCTTTTTTATCTTTATTTGGTAGGGAAGGAAAGTTTTCTCTGTTTTGTGCCTTAGATGATGATGATACACTGTTTTCTTCCTTGACCTTTTTTGACAGGGAAGGGAAATAAATCTTCGGGAACGATTTCCTGGGGAAATCGAATCGTGTTTTTTTAGGTAAAATATAATTTTCATTGCAATCAGTTGTGGATAATTCCCATATAAAGATAGTATTTAATATAGTAACAATAACACATATGTTTCATGTAACAGTAACAGTATGTAACGGTAACATAACAGTAACAGATGTAACAATAACAAATACTCAATATTTGTTGAATAATTGCAATGTTGTTGATTATGTTAGGTTAAAAAGTCTTTTTAAAAGAGTTTCTTTATATTTTATTTACTCACTAATAAAAAAATAAGTCTAGCCATACTAAAATACAAATATTCGCTCAAACAAGCATTGCAATTAATAAGAATTATTGAAAAATTTAAGTGGTTGAATGCACTTCTTCACTGCTGTTAATCTTTTGTGGTCCTGGTCCTTTATCAATTTTTTCCTCTATCGCATGGAAACTTTCTTTGATTTTTTCTAATGCGGAGCTGAGACTGGTTTTTATTGTGTTAAATTCTTGCGTTACCAACGAAAGTTTGCCGAGTAGATAGTTGAGGTTTTTATCAACTTCGGTTACTTCGACCGTCATTTGACCAACCTGTCGAGAGAAAAATATAAGATTTAAGTAAGATAGCCTAATTAAAAAAAATATTTGGAAAAAATTAGAACAAAATTTCTACATATTTACTATTAATAGGTAAAAAATCGTTTAAATTTTTTTTAATCTCTGAAGAAGGGTTCTCAATGACAGGAACATTGTTCTATTGTATTCATTATTATAGCTCTTCATACTTACATAACTTTTTATTGTATATTGTTTAATTAAAAAAAACTTATCGGTTTTCTAACGATATGCAAAAATACACGCTTTGTTTATTTTGCTTGATATGTATTATCAAAATAATGAATTTTGAAAACAATTTCAAAATGATAAAAGACTGGTATCTAAAAAATTATGTATAGAATAATTTCCATGATAAATTGTTTGAAAAAGCTCAGTCCAAACAACAGATATTTATGTTTTTGTAAGTAGTATACAAACTGAAGTAAGTACAATATAATTGTACTTACCTACATCTTTCAATAAAAAGTAAAAATCATTTAACCTATGATTTATATCGATAGTATGTATTGAGAGGATGCAGAATTCTCTAATCTTAATGAGAAGAGAAATTCAAAGTAATGGATAAATACTTAACAAGAAGGACCAATCCAAAAAACCGAAATAATATAAATTAAACTCTTTCTACTAGTTCTGACATACAGGTGAGAAACGCATGGATTATTTCTAAAGCCTGCTTGTCATTATGCTAAATTCAGTACTGAATTTAATACTAAAAATTTGAGCTTGTTCTAATTTCTTGCACTAAAAATGATGAAATACTTTTCTATTCTCAACTATTTGTAACAATTAAAAAAAAATTATTAAAATTTATATATAAAAAGTTTTTATATGCCAAAGGGTCTCATTTTTTTCTCCATATGCGTATGTTTTTTTCCTTTATTGCTTATATTGATTACTGATTAATAGCTTAATTATTCAGTACTGCAATTAGCGTATCAAAGCGGCAAATCAGTTAAAGAACGGAAAAGCTGTTGGGGAAGATAATATCCCAATTGAAATAATAAAGATATTACTAGACGAACACATCGAAGTAATGGAAGATATATTTAACAAAATATACGAAACAGGCATAATACCAAATGATTGGCTGACATCGGTGTTTATACCACTACCAAAGAAGAGAAACTCCAAGAAATATAAAGACCATAGGATTATTAGCCTGATGAATCATATGTTGAAGCTTTTCCTACGAGTAATACACAATAGAGTATACAATACACTAGACGAACACACTGGTCAAACTCAGTTTGGTTTTAAGAATGGGTTCGGAACAAGAGAAGCACTTTTTTCAATACGTGTGCTAGTTGAAAGATGTAGAGATGTCGGTTCTGATATATACTTGTGTTTTATAGACTTTCAGAAGGCGTTTGACCTAGTGAAACATGATAAATTAATAGATATTTTAAGGTCATGTAATATCGACGATAAAGACTTAAGGATCATTTCAAACCTCTACCAAGAACAAAAGGCTAAAATCAGAATAAAAAGAAGATATTTCAGAAAGCTTTGGAAGGCACCTCGGATGGTATAATTATAAACGGGCAATGTATAAATAACCTGCGATATGCTGATGAAACTGTCATACTGGCAGATAATGCTGAAGCCCTGCAACGCTTATTGGACCGAGTAACGACAGCCTGTAGAGAATTTGGAATGAAATTGAATACAAAAAGACAAAAACGATGGTCATCAGCAAGTACCAAAACAGAAGGGTGAAGGTCAATGTCGACGGAACAGATCTGGAAAGAGTAACAAGAACAACGTACCTTGGAACTAATCTTGATGAAACGGGACCTTTCACTAGAGATAAGAATACGCCTGGAAAAGGCACGTACAATGTTTTACAAAATGCAAAAAGTTCTATGCAACCGCCAGCTGGGCATCTCATTGAGAACTAGAATACTTAAGTGCTATGTTTTCTCCACTTTGCTCTATGGTGTTGAAGCCTGGACAATGACAGAAGCAACACAAAAAAGAATCCAAGCATTCCAACTCTGGTGTTACCGTAAAGTGCTCAGAATATCCTACATGAGCCATACGACAAATGCGGAAGTCTTGCGGAGGATGAATAAGGAAAGAGAGCTTATGCTTATAATAAAAGAACGGAAAACACAATATTTTGGTCACATCATAAGAAATCAAAAGTATGAACTGCTCCAACTTATAATCGAAGGCAAAGTCAATAGCAAAAGAGGACCAGGAAGAAGACGCAACTCCTGGCTTAAAAACCTACTGCAATAGACGAACATGACCTCCATAGAACTATTCAGGGCTGCTACAAATAAGATTAAATGGGCAAATGTAATGGCCAACGCCCTTAAGGATAAGGCACCGTAAGAAGAAGCACTTAGCGTAATAGCAAGCGGACTTCAAACAGATAAACATACATCTAATAACTAAGGATCTTAAAAATATTATTTGCCAAATAATATTTTTAAGATCCTTAGTTAGTAGATGTATTAGTGAAAATGATCTTTAAAGAAGACAATATAACTTCGAAATATTTTTCTTCTAATGTAGACTCCAGTAATAAAGGTTGGCTATAACCATTGCAAATTCATCTCTAACTTCGGTTTGTCTTATTAAAAGTGTCTGTATGTATAATTAAATATTTGTCATCTAGGAGGACCCTGTTTTCCTTCAATTTTACCCTTCATAATCAACTTAACAATTCGTACCTTTCATTTTGATGTATGTACCCCAAAATATGCCCCTTTTAATGGTAAACAAATAATCTCTATCTCTTCCCTTTCTGTGTAACACCATTTCGTTGGTAAAATGATCTCTTCATGGCATTTATAAAAGTCTCCTAAAAAGCCACATCTAAAAAGCTTCCAACATTCTCATTAAAGGTCATCACCATCATCATCAATGGCGTTACAACTCTTGGTGAGTCTTTGCCGCGTTTACTACTGCCTTCCTTGTTTGTCAGTCCTGTGCCAGTAATTCCCATTTTCGCACTCCCATTTTCTCTAGATCTTCCTTGAGTGCATCTTTCCACGTTTTTCTAGGGCAATGGACCTACACCGCTCTACAGAACTTCCATGTGGCCTTTCCCATAACACATTGTTTATAAGGGCAGGGCACATGCCCTGCCCATCTGAGTCTAATGGCCTTTATATATCTGACTAGATTTTCTTTTTCGAATAGAAACTCTAGCTCGTTATTGTATCTGCCCCTCCATTCGTTTTTACTTCGTTATTCGAAGAATTTTACGTTCCCACACCAGCAATTTATTTACTTCTCTTTTTGTTATCGTCCATGTTTCGCTTACATACACGACTGCTGGTCGTATTATGGTCTTATATATCCGGATTTTTGCACCTCGTGAAAGAAGTTTTGACTTCATTAGATGTTGCATTGCAAAGAAAGATCTGTTTCCTACAATTATTCTCGTTTCAACTTCTCATTCTAATTTGTTGTCATTTGTGATTGTTGCTCCTAGATATTTAAATTCTTTAACCACTTCGAAGTTGTGATCATTTATAATAATGTTTTGCCTTATTCGCCGTCGTTATTGTTTTGAGACGACCATGTATTTTGTTTTGTCTTCATTTATTTTTAGACCGATGTTTAATGCAGCTTCTTCAAAGCACGAGAAAATATCCTTAATTTAGAATGTTGATTGTGCTACTGCGCCTACGTCATCGGCAAAGGCGAGTATGATTTTTGCTCCCCGAGCAGTTATGTCTGGTTTGATTTTTGGATATATTTATCGCATGACATATTCTAAGGCCAGGTTAAACAACAATGGGGACAACGGATCTCCCTGTCTCAGTCCAGAATTTACGCAGAAAGCATTTGATATTTTCCTCTCTATTCTAACCTGTGCAAAAGAGTTACTTACACACATTTGTGTTACCGCAGCTAGTTTCTTGGGTACGCCGAGCTCGATCGTTGCTTTCCATAATTTTGCACGATTAATTGAATCATAAGTCTGTTTGAAGTCTATAAAAATCTGATGCACGTCGTGATTATATTCCCAATACTTTTCAAGCATTTGTGTTATTGTAAATATTTTATCAATAGTCGATCTGCCAGGCCTGAAATCACACTGGTAGTCACCAACTATTTCTTCGGCGTATGGTACTAATCTTTTTAATAATATTGAAGCCAATATTTTATATGTAGTGTTGATTAGTGAGATTCCTTTGTAATTCATGCATGATTCTTTTTTCCTTTCTTGTGTATTGGTACAATAATACTACCACACCATTCTTTCGGCATTATTTATTGTTGCCAGGCCATTTCTGTTAATTGATATATTTTACTTATGAGTTAATGACCGCCTGTTTTAATTAGCTAGGCATCAATATTGTCCAGACCAGGGGATTTATCATTTTTAAGCGTTTTTATGGCATGCGTAATTTCTTCCATGCTTGGTGGGGGTATTTCTAATTCGACCGTTTGATACTCATGTTCTCCGTTATTTCCACCATTTTCATTGTTTTGTCAGTGAAATTTTGGATATTCAGAAGCTCTTCAAAATATTCAGCCCATCTTTCATTTCTCCGTTTTTATCTCTTACGAAGTTGGGTGTGCTTATATGCGAGCCTCTCTTATGTTGTCTTACCTCTCTATAGACATTTTTACTTTGATTTCGTCTGTGTTCTCCTTCTACTTTTTCAATTTGTTGCTGCAGATATTGTGTCATTAAAGGGCGTGGCATATTATCATGCACGTTGCGTTTCCAGCCCGTAGCGTTTAGTTTCCGAAAAATATAATTTAATGATTTTAAATATGAATAACTCACGCTGTCCGGAACGTATCGTATCAGACACCTAACGTTTCCGTTCAGTATATTCGAATACAAGTCCGTCATTTCCCCCTCGTTGTTTATTTAGGTATTTGTTTGATTTTGATACAGTATTGAAAACAATAATTGTCGAAGCTATTTTGTCATTTATGCATGTGTTTTCAATTGCTTCGTGACAATTAAACATGAAAGTGATAAACAATTAGGACTTTTGCACAAGTTAAAATGGATTTCGAAAAATTATTTGAACTCGTACGCAGTGAAGAAATTTTATATAACTAAAATGAATGATAAATGCTATCAGAATGCAAATAAAAAAGAAAATATTTGGAAGGAAATCGCACGCAAATTAGGACAAAATGGTAAGTAGGTATCAAATAATACCACAAATATTTAATCCTTCTAAAATGTCTTAATTACACGAAATACATAAGAATTTTAAGCAGCAGATTGAAAAAATGTTTTAAAGTTGTCCCTTTACTGTGAATGCTGATAATGAATTTTTGTCGCGTAAAGCGAGAACACAATTTTCATCGCATCAAACTGAAACGTTCTATATATGAAAATGTGAACGCGTAGTCCAATTACTGGACTGGAAACGCTACGTACCGGAAACTATACGTGCATGATAATATGCCGCTATCTTAAGTCAACACTAACCGTCGATACTTCGACGCCACAACGCCATAACAAAGAATAGAGTGGATATAACATTTTACCATTCGATATCGGATTATCAGATTGAGTCTTTGGTTACTTAGAAATTTCCTCATCTTTAAAAAGGCAACTCTTTATACTATGAGAAATGCAAAAAAGATCAATAATGCAGATCTTTCATACAAAATAGCTATACCAAGATGGGTTTGGCATGTATGAAAACAATAACTACTAGGGAAACAGAATGGGAAAAGTCGAGTTGAACTAGAGCTGTAGTACCAATGACGATAATAATAATTTTTTAAAATAATTAAATTTTTTTATTGTAGGTTGAAAATACTTTTTAAACGAGTTTTTGTATTTTATTTACGATTTTAACGTACTCACACTTTAACAAAAAATTAGGTCCAGCTATGCTTAAAAACAAATATTTGCTCGAACAAACATTGCAACAAATAAGAATTAGGTATTAAAAAAATTAAGCTGTAGGCACTTGCTCATTGATGTCAATATCGTGTGGTCCTACTTCTCCATCAATTTTTTCCTGAACTGCATGGAAACTTTCTTTGATTTGTTCTAATGCAGTGCTGAGATTGGTTTTGATTCTGTTAAATTCTTGCGTTACCAATGAAAATCTGCCGAGTAGAGATGTGATATTTTCATCAACCTCGGTTATTCGGCCCGTTATTTGACCAACCTGTCGAAAGAAAAATATAAGGTTTAAGATAGCCTTATTAAAAACCACGTTTTGAAAAAACAGACTAACATTTTTACACATTTAGTATTAGATGGTTTTTTACTATTCAACTTTTTATTATTCAAAGAAAGGTTCTTAGTGCCAGGAATATTTGTTCGTTTTTTTTTTTCATTACTATTTATCTTTAAACTTTTGATTGTGTAAAGTAAAATGAAAAATCATCGCTTTTTTCAACTAGATATAAAAATAAGTGACTTGCTTGTTTTACTTAATATTTTTTATCAAAATAGATTTTGTCATGCGACTGAATAGCTCATAAATGTAAAGTCCTGACAGGACTATGACAGGCGGCACGAGGTCTCATGGCAGCAATAGAGGTTAAGCACTTAGAATCGGTTACCCACAGGTAACCATCATACTGTGTTACTGAAAGTAAGAATAATAAACATGTACAACAGTCCTTATTAAACAATATTACATGGCGCAGTCTTGTGGTAAATAAAGTTCTAAAATAAATGAAAACAAGACATTGTTAGAATTAGAACAATATGGAGTTTAAAATACTTCAACCATTATCATTTGAAGGTAACGTGGCTGAAAACTTTCGGCGTATCAAACAGTCATTTGAAAATTACTTCTTGGTTAGTGACGAAGAACTAAAAGGAAGACACAGTAAAAATAGCTATAGGTACTGTTAAATTTTTTGGAAGATGAAGGACTTGATTTGTTTATCACCTTAAAGTTAACGGATGCACAGAGAAAATTGTATGATACAGTATTGGGTGAATAAGAGAATTACTTCACCCCTAAAAAGATTGTGATCTACGAAAAATTTTTATTCTATAATAGAAAACGAGAGGAAGGAGTGCTATTTAATACTTACCTAACTAACTTGCGTAAATTGGCCAAAAATACAAAAGGCAATAGACATGTGTAGAGCATATGAAATTTCAAAAATATAACTTAATGAAGTTCAGTCATTTCAAACATTCATTCTGTAAAAGAGGTAAACGGTAATCAAACAGCAAGGGGAAAAGCTTCAAATATCAACTTTAATACTGGAAGAAGCAAAAGATGGAAACAGGAGAAAAACTCAAGGAAAAGTTTTCAGTGCAGAAAATGTGGTCCTGCTCATGCGTTCCGAAAGTGTCTAGCATTTGGTAAAATGTGTAATAAGTGTGTTTGTATTACAACCATTTCGAGAAAATGTGTAACAACAGGATCGTAAGAGAAGTTCAGTAGATTCAAGAAGTAGATAGGGACAGTGAACATGAAGAATTTATGGTAACATCAATTGAGGTAAATGAAATAAAAGGAAATAAGGAATGATCTGAAAGATTAGTAATTGAGCTATATGAAATAGACTTTAAAATAGATACAGGTTCACAAGTAAACATTATAACATTCTACTTTTTGAATAAAATCAATAACAATTATGAGATAAATTAGTGCAAAATGAGGTTAAAAACATATAGTGGGTTTAAAGTAAAATCTGTTATAGTTAAAGATAACCTTTTACCAATTTTAGGTTTAAAATCATGTTTAGATTTGATACAAAGAGTAGATATCATAGATTTAAATATAACAAAAGATCACTTTAATAAATAAAATATTTATGTATTTACTGGATTAGGTAAATGTCCTCAAAAATGTAAACTAAAACTCAAAGAGAATTTTGTTCCTGTAGCTAAGCCCCCACGAAGGTTTCCTTTAGCCATTAAAGCGAGATTAAAAAAATCAACTGTTAGATTTAGAAAAACGCGGCATTATATCTAAATGTGAGGGTCCTACAGACTGGTTGAGCAATTTGGTTATAGTTGAACCACCTGATAAAACATTAAGAATTCGTTTGGATTTAGATATTTAAACCAAGCACTTAAAAAGGAATATTGTTTAATACCTACTATTGAAGAGATTTGCAGTTGAAAAACAAATATTATTTTTCTGTTTTAGACTTTAAAGAAAGTTTAGCTTGATGAGAGGTCCAGTAGAGCTGGTGCGTTTGGAACCCTTTTTGGAATTTGGAAATTTGATAGATTGGTGATCTTGATGGATGTCTCATCTATTTTGGTGATCTTTTAATATTTACAGATAGTCTTAAAGAACATGACAGAATCCTTAATAAAGTATTAGAACGTGCTAGAAATATTGAAGTAAAATGTAATCCTAATAAGATACAGTATAGAATGTCCGCTTTTCTTTTTCATTACTATAATAAAAATACAGTTACAAAAGAAGAATTAAGCGTAGAGGATAATGTGGTTATAAGAGAAGATGGGCAATGAAAACCTGCTGTGGTTAAACCATGTTTACAAGAGCCAAGATCATATGTTGTTAAGAAAGAAAATCGGACATTGGTAAGAAGAAATAACTATCACTTGAGACAATCTAATAGTATGCCTAAACATTTTAACTAGCAGATGATTTTGATTACAATCGACAGATCTTCAACATCAACGGCCTGTGAGAGTGAAATCTGGAATCAGTTTCCTACCAGAAGTAAAAGATTAATTAAACCCTCATCTATATATAATGATTTCGAGATATACTAGTTTAGCAATCAGGCACTTTAGAATAGCTTATCATCATACTGTATTACTGAAAGTAAGAATAATAAAGATGTACAACAGTCCGTATTAAACATTATTATAGATTTTGATAACAATTTAAAGAAGAAAAAATGATCCAATATATACGTATCTAAAAAATTATGTAATGTCCACTAGAAAAAGCCGAAACATTTACAACACACCTTAAAAAAGTTTTTGAATGACGGAAAATACTTACTACAAACTGAAGAAGAAATTATTTCAGTACATTACGTTTAGCAAAACCTTCTCAACTAGAACTTCATGAAAAAAGATTCACAAAAAAAAAAGTAAAAAATATTATACAACACAAAATCGATCCAACAAAGGCACCAGGATACAATCTTATTGTCCTATCGTTCTATTAGTTTTCTTTCAGTAATTTCCAAAGTTTTTAAAAATCTGACACTTACTAGGCTAACGCCTATACTAGAAAACAAAAAACTAATATCATCACACCAATTTGGGTTCATAAAACAACATTCAACAATACAACAGGTACATAGAGTTGTAGAGAGAATCAATGAATACTTTAAAAATCATAGGTTTATTCAACGGTATTCTTGGACATAAGCCAGTTATTTGATAAAGTCTGGCACAAAGGTCTCTTATATAAACTAAAACAGAATTTACCAACAAATTACTATATAGTTTTAAAGTCCTATATCACCAACCGAAATTTCCAGGTAAAGTATGAGAATGGATACACAAGCATACAACAAATTCTCGCCAGGATACACCAAGGAAGCGTCCTAAACCCGTATTATATCTTATATTCACTGTTGACCTACCAACAGATACAAATATCAGCAAAGCCACTTTTGTGGATGATATGGCAATACTATCATCCAATAAAAATCCCAAAATAGCCTCAGAAATCGTACAAAATAACTTAAATAAAATACAACAATGGATGACAAAATGGAGAGTCAAATTAAATGAAAACAAATCACTGCACCTAACATTTACCATGCATAGAAAAACATATCCACCTGCAACCTTAAACCGTGAAAGAATCCCACAAGGAGATGAAGCCAAATATCTAGTTACGTACTTGGACAGAAGATTAAACTTGAGGAAGCAAATAGTTAATAAGCGAAAACAACTGGGTCATAAGTTGAGGAACATGTATTGGTTGTTAGGCACAAAATCAAAACTATTAACTGAAAATAAAATATTAATCTACAAATCCATCCTAAAACCAATTTGGACTTACGGACTAGAATCTAAAGTATTAAGAACATGGTTCATAATAAATGAAGCCATCCATCAAGACGCCGCCGCCGGACTAACATACGTCAAAGATGATATCGTACGTTAATTTTTAAATTAGATATTCTTCTTCTTCTTAAGGTGCCGTGCATTTCTGCGTAGGCGTCCACCGTACATCGTCTTGTCAGGTGAGATGTTAAATATTCAGGATTAAATAATTATGTTTTTAGCAGCATTGCGAAGCATTTCATAGCTGTGGATTCCTGTCCATTGTCGAATATTGCGCAGCCATGACATTTTTTTACGTCCGAGACCTCTCCTACCCTCTATTTTCCCTTCGAGAATCAGTTGCTGAAAAGTGTATCGTTCTCCTCGTATAATGTGCCCCAAGTATGCAGTCTTCTTACTTTTTACATAATTAAAAAGTTCCCTATCCTGTAAGCCTGCTCTTCTGAGTACTTCCTCATTTCTGACCCTGTCCGTCCATGATATTCTGAGCATTCGACGCAGGCACCACATTTCAAACACTTCAAGTTTGTTAATGGAACTGGCCTTTAACGTCCATGCTTCCATTCCGTACAGGAGAACAGGCCACACGTAACATTTAAGCATCTTGTATCGGAGAAGCATCTTGAAGTCCAATTTGCGATCAGTCAGAAGCTTACGAAGCCTCAAAAAAGCATTTCTGGCTTGTTCAACTCTGCTCTTTATTTCATTCTCGGGGTCCCAACCCTCATTCAGCAAACATCCCAAGTATTTGAATTGCCTGACTTGTTCGATTTCTTCTCCAGAGACATATATCTTTGCGTTGGGGTAATCATTTCTACTTATAATCATTGATTTTGTCTTCTTGATATTTATTTTCAAACCCCGAGCTTCACTTGCAAGAGTTAGATCATTTAAAAGGCATTGAAGATCTTCGATGTTATCTGCCACTATGGCTGTATCGTCGTCATACCTGATGTTATTAATAAATATGCCGTTAACTTTAATACCCTTATTAGAGTCCTCTACTGCTTCTGCGAAGGCTTTTTCTACGTATAAATTGAACAGCATTGGGGACAGTATACAACCTTGCCTTACTCCTTTTTTAATGGAGAAATCTTCTGTTTCGTTGAAATTTTGAAGACGTACTGTTGCTGTCTGGTTCCAATACAGATTGGCGATGATTCTTATATCCTTTGCATCCAATCCCAACTC